TGAGATTTGCTGTACCGAGAATTTGTCCTTCTGCTCTGTCTCTCCCTTAGAGATTGAGAGGAACAAAGAATACATTCCTCTTGACAGACCTCCTATTCAGTGTCTTGTGTATAAAAGACTGTATGGTTAATAAACTTGCTGCAGTTCCTCGATTGAGCTGTAGTCCTCCCGATCCCGCGCTCCTGTCTTTCTTTTCTCAATTCCCACCTCCCTACCTCAGCCGGGTTCAACCTGTCAGGCTGGCCCTGACAAGGAGGAGCTGCAGAAGGAATGGCAGGGACTCCATGGGGTCTGTGTACCACATTAGTCCTAGCGCTTCCCTCCCGGAGCCAGCCAGGTGAGGTCTGGGCATTGGTGGAGGTGGCCTATCCCATCATGCCTTGTGCAAAATGTCAACCGAGACCCCTCCTCTTCCATTGTTTTGAGTCCCATGTCCTGCCTGAGGAACTGAAACCAGGGTCCCTAGACTCATGCCAGTTTGAAGGGTCTTCGTTAGAGTTTGCACAGTTTCAACTTCTCACTAACCAACCCTGCTGCTTAGGACACATTCGCACTAAGTATTCAAGAGTGCCTCCTTCCAGCAGGGCAATGGGACCACTTCATGACTGAATTCTGATGTAATAACTCTCACTGGTAACTTTAGAGACCACCACCTTCTACTGCAATTGTCACTTCTACCTCTATTGCTTTGTCACACCAGCCAGTGTCACCCTGACCACATCCACTGGCCAGGTCTTATCCCAAGTTCATCAAAAGGAGTGGAGTTTCAGCATTTGAGGTAGGGCTTAGCTATGGACCTTTCCTCGGGTCACATGACCTAGCTTGCCATAAGCTGCAGGGGAGATTCCACCATGAGATGGTCAGCTCCCCAGCTTGCACTGTCCAGTTCCTCTCTTTCAAGTCCAGCCCCTCTGCATTCTGCCACCTGGAGGTCAGGTAGGAGTGGGTGCTGGGATAATATTCCATGCAGATGGCCCTGGGAACAAGAGGCACTCATGAGCCACCTGAGATTGCATCACTACCTCTTTGTTTAACCTGGAGAAACCCCAGCCCCGTCTCCACTAGAGCAGGTGGGCATCATTGAGCAGAGGCAGTGCCCAGCCCAGTTAGGTGTCTGTAATGTTTTTCACCTTCCTCACTGCATCCTGGACCACATGGCTTTTAGCATCTTCTGTTTCTTGAATAGCATCTTATGTTATTCAGACATGTTTTGTCCATTGTTGATGCCTCCCTCTGAGCTAAGCTCCTCCAATTTGATGAGTGACAGGATGTGTCAAGATACTAAACATTAGCTTCCGCTCCTCCACTGCTCCTCCACTCTGCTCTGAACTCTCCGGGACAACCTCCCTCCCTGTAGGTGGTCCTCAAGTGACCTGTCCTCCCATCTGTCCTGCATTGAGTGCCAGACTAGATGCTGATGGACATTTGTTTCTGAAAGACCTCAATGTGACCCACATAGTCTTTGCAGGACTGGAACTTAGCTTCCTCAGTTGTCCTCCATACATGGGCATGTTTGAGACCCCTTCCTTCTGCAGGAGGCTCTTCCTCAGCCGATTGTCCTAGGCAGGTGACAGACAAATTCACAATACTGTGAATTGTGAGGATATCGAACCTTTGTGTTCCTGCCCAAACACAGATTCTCTGGAAAAATACATCAGAACAACCAGTCACCAAAGATCAACAAAGTTGAATTGAAAAGACTCCAGTGCAACTGGCGCTTGCAAACGCTGGTTCTGTTTCCATCAGTGAGACCCAGCTTTCCTGGTAGGTTTTTTGTTTTTTTTCAAAGTGGGTCCTTTAAAAGCACCTAGGGATTTTCTGTGATACAGTGTCTTTTAGGAAAACTTACATTATAATGAGAGAGAGAAAAACAACAACTACAGAACGGTAAAACAAAGACAAACACCATCCTGGCAGGGTTTTTCATGGGAGGGTTTCTCCAAGGGGGCCCGCTGGACGTGTTGCACGTGCTGTGGAATATTCCTCTTGTCTCTCTGTGATATCTACCTTTGTGTTTGGCATTACCGAGCCTGGGAGGTTATCATGAATGCCAGTCGTGTGTAATAAGCGCAACTGACAGGATTTAAAGGCTAAGCCTAACCTTTCTAATCCATCTATTCCCCATTCTGTGCCTCAGGCCATGCCTCTTCTGCAAGAATATACTACATTCTTGCGCCTGTGATGGGAGCTGCAATAATTTCCTGACTGTCAGTCAAAGCCTCTCTCCTGGAGGAGTTGGGGAAATGCAGGCTTCTCCTTCTGACTAGAAGGAAAAGGAGCTATAAAGACTTTTCGGAATAAGATTATAGTCCTTTTCCCTCTTTTCTGTTAGGTTAAATTAATTAACAGAATAGACTAATTAAAATTAGATTAAAAATTAATTCTGAATTTTAAAATATACTTAGAAGTTAATTTATCAGTAATTTGTTATAAAATAAATTCACTGATATGAAGTGAGAGCTATGTGTTGGGCATTGTTCTAAGCACTGGGGATACAAAATAGATCAGGCCTCTGTTCTTCTGGATCTTCTATCCTTTGAGTGGAGAAACAAAAAAAGAATCAAATAGACAAATATGGACTAAATGGCAAGGTGGTAAATGCTGTGAAAAAGATAAAGCAGAATAAGGAGATAGGGAATGAGGGCTGGAGAGTGGGGTTCTGTTTCACCTAGCATGCTCAGATAGGGCCTCTCAGGGAAGATGATATTTGAGCAGAGGCGTGAAGGACATGAGCGAGTGAGCCACGCTGATATATTGAGGAAGAGTGATTGGCAAAGAAAGCAGCTAGTTGTAAACACTAGGGTCCTCACTGTATTCAAAGAACTTTTTATGTTACAGTGAAGAATTTGGATTTTTTCCAATGATGTAAAAAGTCATTGGTGAGTTTTGAATAAAGGAGTGACATAATTTTATTTATGTTTTTAAAGAATCAACTTGACTGATATTAGTAAAAACAGCATGAGGGGGCAAAGGAGAAAACAGTTCAGTCGTTAGGAGGTTATTATATTTCATCTAGGAAGGCAGTGGATTGGAGTAGGCAGCAGTTGCCAACCTTTCAGACCTCACAGACCACCAGTGGTCCGCGGACCACCAGTTGGCAACCGCTGGACCAGAGTGATATCGATGGAAGTAGTACTGAGTGGTGATTGGGTTGTGGAACTATTTTGAAGGTAGAGTCAACAGGAGTGGCTGATGGATCAGATGTGAGATAAGAGGAAAACAAGAAGAGTCCAGAATGACTTTGGGGTTTTAGCCTAAATCACTGAGAGCAGCTGTTTGCTGCCATGGTAGGATTGAGATAGGAGCGGGTTTGATGGTTGGTGGAGAGGATCAGAGTTCAGAATGGGGCACGTTTAGTTTAAGCTGCCTGTTAGACATTCATGTGGTGATACATCATAAGCATAATAGTCTGGAGTCCAAGGGTGAGGTCGGGGCTGAAAAAACAAACTTGAGTGTAATGAGCATAAATAGTTTTAAAGCCATGGGGCTGCATGTATCATCCGCAGAGTAAATGGAGAGTGGAAAGGAGAGATCTGGGAATGGAGTTGTGGGCATCTCCAAAGCTTACAGATTGGGAAGGAGATGGAGAGGGGTGGTTAGTGAAGTACAAGAAACCAACAAACAGAGCACTGTGCCAGAAGCAAGGGAAGGAATCATTCCAGAAGGAGAGCAATCAACTTTGCTAACTGCTGTTGGCTTGAATAAGATTAATTACTGAGAAATGACTATTGGATTTGGAGGTCACTGGTGACCTTAATCAAGAGCACCTTTAGAGGAACAATGTGAATAAAACTCAACAGGGGTGGGTTCAAGAGAGAATGTCGTAGAGCAAATAGTAGTATTAGACAACTTTCCTGAGGAAATTTGTTGCGAATGGCATATTTGTATGCTGATACAGATATGGGTAGGTGGCTGGAAGGTTTGATGGTGAGAGCCTTTGGAAGATCATGAGGTTTGAGTAAGAAGAGGATGGAGAGAGGTACATGTGAGAAGAAGCAGAATGGGACTGAATGGACCACATCAGTGTTTCTCATGCTGCCCTGGACATCAGAACCACCAGGAGCCTTGTTAAAGCACCAGTTTCTGGGCCTCCCCCTGAAAGTTTCTGATGCCATTAGGTCTGGGGAGGCGCCCAAAAATTTACAATTTTTATAAGCTCCCAGGTGATACTGATGCTGCCGGTCCAGGGCCTCCACTTTGGGAACCACTGGGCTTGGGAAATGGGAAATGAGTTAAGATGTTGGGAGCAGCACTAAGGCCTTCTTGGGTCTGGCAGTCATCCATGTAAAGCGAATCTAGCCAGCGTGGTTGTGTGCTTTTCTCTAGCCCTGTTCAGTAGCTCAGGAATGGCAGCAGTAGGCACAAAGTTGGAATTAACCAGAAAAAAATGACGAGTTGATATCACCAGTATATTTAAGAAGTTTTACTTCTCTGTGATGTCTTTGTTATAAAGATGCTATTTCTTCATCTTTCATTTGAAATAGAAAATATTAGAGAATCAGAGATTGAGAAAAATGAAAGTTTATGGTTGAAATTTACTGTTGCTGAACTTAGAAGTAAAAGGAAATAATTTCACCTCTGGTCTCATATTGCAAGTAGAAATATAAGCCCTTATCCCTAAAATATCTATTAATCATACTGTTAGGAAATTCTGAAACATACTTTGAAAAACTAAAATTTGTTTGTTTTTAAATATTATGAGATTACATACATCACAAGTGAATTTTAAGACTATTATATTATTCTTTGCAAATGGTTATATACTCCTACAAAAACAGTTGTTAGGTGCAGAGCCTGACACACATGAAATGAGTATAGGAAAGGAGAAGTCTCTGTTAGAGTGAGGGCCACAGCTTGTTAACCAGAATGTGGGAAAGAACTGACTTCCATAATTCAGATAGAGCATGTGAGGTGGCAATTTAAATATAGCAATCTATTTTCCATGTTAAGCTAGTATTAATTTTTAAGTAACTGGTACTTTTCTTTTTATTAAATAACAGGTTTTGCTGGAGCCGGGTGTGATCCAAGATGTGTTAGCCGCTGGCAGCCACCTGCAGCTGTTGGAGCTCCTCAGTTTATGTTCCCACTATCTCATCCAGGTGTGTGACCTAGCATCCTGCCAACATGCCCTTCACATTCCTTCCCTCTGTCATTATAGGCGGTACCCCACCAACTGACAGGTAAAATGGAATGGGGGAGGGATGTGGTCTCTGCTACTAGAATTTCTCCAGGACACAAGCTGAGAGCTCCTAGGAGCCAGCTGCAGCTCTCATGTCCTAGCTCATGGCCTCCACTCTCCCTGCCCACCCCAGAACCCCACCACCCTTGGGCAGTAAAGCAACTCACCAACCATGCACAGGTTCACTGCCAGGGCCGGAGAGATGATGCGGGAACAGATCATGATTTGAAGCAGTGCTGTCTGGTTTCCACATGGAATAACCACAAATGCACAATAAGTTGGATAGTCCTTTAAGAATTTAGTAACAGAAACTAATATATCACAAAGTCATCAGTGTATATTTAATTAGCACATGAACTTCCTAAGCAATAAATGCTGGAAAAATGAGTGATCTGTGCATTCTTCCCTTGATTTGCTGGGGTGGTCAGGAAAGCTCTGTGAGGGGCAGGGAGAAAAAAGCCTACTGTGAGTTCACACCAGTGTTTCACCTTCAGTCCTCAGCGTCTTTAGACATTTTGTTTTCTTTCTTTTTTTTTTTTAAATACCTCTATTGATTTCAGAGAGAAAGGGAGAGGGAGAAAGAGAGAGAAACATCAGTGATACAAAAGAATAGATTGGCTGCCTCCTGCATGCTCCCTACTGGGGACTGAGCACAAAACCCACACGTGTGCACTGACCAGGAATCAACTGCGATCTCCTGGTTCATAGGTCAGTGCTCAAACACTGAGCCATGCTAGCCAGGCTCTTTGCACATTTTTATAGGCGAAAAATCAGAGATTCAAAAGGCACCCAGCTTGTCCAAGGTGACATGGCCGATGAGTGGTAGGCCTTTCTGATTCCAAAGACCATTATTTCTTCTTGGATGAAAACCCTTTGGCTCAGGAGGAAGATAGGGGACTTCTTGGGCAGATAGTGTAAGATATTTTATAGAGAGTTCAGTAATAATTCCCTGTATTGGGATTCTTCCATTTCCCCAACTTGTATGAATTTTGCTGACATTTATTACAGCATTATAAAGACAGTGAAAATAAAATTTAAAAAATGATAAATCCACACAATTTAATTCTGCTATCCTTGTGAATATGACATGAGATTAGTAAATAGAAAAATTTTATTTGTTTCCTGCTCAGTTATTTTATTTCCCTCCTAATTTTCTTCTCTAATTCTAAATATGGCCTTGATTATTGACTTCTGTTACTCACTAGGCAGTTTCCAAATCTCTTTCTGCTACATCATCTTATTTCATGTTCCCAGCAACCTTGGGAGGTAGGAACCAGTTCTTCCTTTGGTGATGGTGTGAGGGATGTCAACCATGATCAACTAAGGAACAATTCAAATACAGTATATGAAAGTTTTATCATCTCAACTCATTTAATCTAATAGTAAATGTTTAACTATTTTTTATCTTATTTTTTTTCTTTTCCCCTCAATATTGTTGGGTGATATGGGAGAGCGATTTTTAATCCCTTTCTGCAAGTAGCAAATGGGAATAATGTAGAAAGGTTACTTGACTTCAAAAGTGTGGGTTAGACTTGTGAAATTGACGTTACTTTTATATGCTATTTCTACATCAAATATTGTAACTCAAACTTTCAACAGCATCACCTGATTCACTTTTTTAATGACAGGTATAATCAATGATATATGTTGACAAAAGTTTGGTTATTGCTGCTTATCATGATGCACGTTAAAATAGTGTGTCTATACAGTTGTGTGTGCACCTATATATTAGTTTTCTATAAATGAGAATTCCAGACAAACATTAGAAGATCATGAATATTTTCCCCTACCCCATCAGTTGAATTTGTTGAAATATCAAATGACTGTGGGCTTTGGAATTTAATTCCTGCAGTTTATTATCTTGCTGAGGAAAACGTGTAGCTTGCATACAGATATATTTTGTGGACACATCATTTATTATTAGCTTGCTTGAACAGTGGTTGAAATTTTCACTTTCTTTTCACCAATATGCTTTCATCTCATTCTCTTGTGTAACTTTACTTTTCCGTTTTATCTGTGACCATTGCAAGATGTCCAGTGTGTGGAAGGAAACATTGACTATAAGAGAACTGAAACCATGTGTGTGTAGAAACCTTCATTATGCTAGTCTTTTAAAATATATGCCCTCCCTCTCCTTGGGGATTATAAAATGACCAGACTGGGTCAGTCTGCTTTTATATTTTGACACAGTCTTATAACAATACTTATTTACAGTTTTGTATTATTGCTCAACTGAGTTTTGATTTCATATAGAACCATTTTATTGAGTATAAAAATGTTTTATTAAAGTGAAAAATCTTCAGTGCTTAAAACATACTTAGAAATTATGCTCCATCAATTAAGGGTAATCTCTGTCCTTGTTTAGTACTTTGTTCAACTAGGAGTCTGTGGAGCCATTCTCCTCACTAAAATGTCTGGTGTTTTCTTATTGTTTTCAAATTACCATCATTTCTTTGGTTTTCTTCAAGAGGTGTGAAGGGTAGACCCCTCTCCTGTACTCCCTGTTGTCCTCCAGGGCTCATTAAAAAGCATGCCCAGCCGAAACCAGTTTGGCTCAGTGGATAGAGCGTCGGCCTGTGGACTGAAAGGGTCCAGGTTCGATTCCGGTCAAGGGCATGTACCTGGGTTGCGGGCACATCCCTTGTAGGAGATGTGCGGGAGGCAGCTGATCGATGTTTCTCTCTCATCGATGTTTCTAACTCTCTATCTCTCTCCCTTCCTCTCTGTAAAAAATCAATAAAATATATTTTTTTTAAAAAAGCATGTCCAAGGAGAGCCCCTTGGTTGATACTCAATGAATCACGCCCACCCCAAGCCTCCCTGAGCCTCCTAACCACCAGCTATTGCCTTGGCCTGAAGCCCTTCTGCACATGCATGAATGCTGCTCTCCCCCACCACCCAGCAAAGGGAAGGGCACCTCGTGGGCACTGTGTGGGCTCCTTGGTCTTGTGTCTCCTCTGGGAGACTGCTGAGGGCAGGGACCCCGAATAGCTCTCTATGTCAGTGAGGACAGGCATTGAATTCGCCTCCCAGGCTTATGAGGCCTTCACCTGATTAGTTTTTAGTCCCCAGGCTCTCTCTCAGGGCCGGTCACTGAGAACACACAGGTTCTCAGTGCATGTTTGTAGAATAAACAGGCAGATGAACAATGAAAATGATGCTAACTGATGGGGGGTGAGGTTGGGGTGGACAGGGGCTACAATAGCCCATCATCCCAAGGTAAGGTATTTGCAAACAACTCCTCAAGTTTGTATCCTTTCTCACCCTCTTTGCAGTGAAATTTCATAGGACTGTCCTATGGAGACTCTCCTGTTAGTATACTAATAAGCATGACCTGTCAGGCTTTTATCTGCTATCTGTGATCCAGTCCCAAATAAAATGTGAATACTCCCTTCCCTTTTCCTACTTCTACTCCTCTTCCTTGTCCACTGTGATCTTTTTTAAAAGTCCATCAAAAGATGCACCAACTCATTAAACAGCAATCATTGTCTTTAAAATGGGTCCAATAAAATGCATGGAATGCCTTGCTTTTCCGAGTACATGTGTTCATACATGCCACTCGCTGTTTTAAATCTCATAAAGGAATCTCTGCACATGAAGTGGTTTCAGTGTGTCTACTGGTTTACTGAATCCCTCCGATAAATATTAAAAACCTTTTGAATCCAGATTGTTTCCCAAACTCTGATTTTTCCTAGCCTTTTTTTTAAATTGAACATCTCCACCTAAATATCACACAGGACTCAAAATTAACATGAGAAAACCAGCCCTTTTCTCTATTGATGGTCCCATGGATCCATTGGTTGTCTAGAAATTTGGACATAGTGTTAGGTTCCTCACCACCATATCCAATCAGCTACCAAGATGGGTTGATTCTGCCTCCCAAATATCTCTCAGACCTGATCCTTTTCTCCATTACTAATGTCTTTGGACTTTCACCATTGCTGGTTATAGGTTATGATGAGTTCATGACCTCCTCTAGGGATCTGCTTATTTCTAGCCTCTGTCCATGTCAAACCACATTCCCCAGAGCCATCGTTATTTTTCCCAGGGAAAGGAACCAACATTTTGGGAGCGCTGTTTATACTGTGTTTTGCGCAAGGATTCCCATTTTTCCTCTGCAAAGTAATCCCTTAAGGTGGGTCAGTGTTGTTTTCATTTTGCAGATGAAGAAACTGAAATTCAGAACTAGGATGTTGATCCAGCCTGAAAACCTCCACTTGCTCCCCTGACCACCATTCAAACTCATCATTTCATCTACAGAAGTCTTTAGCCTCATCTCCGAGTCTAGCCTGTTTCTCACTTGCCCTAGTATCTTCCCTAGCCTGCTGTGTCCTGGACCCTAAGGCCTTCCATTCACGTTGATACCTGCCAATAGGGGAAATGACAAGGTAGGGAAGATCCTCGGTGACAGCCAGAGCCTTCAGTCATCTCCTTTAGATGGTATCAAGGGGCAGGAGTAGGGAAAACACACACACACACACACACACACACACACACACACACACCCTCCCATCGGTGACACACACTGCTAAGATCAGGGGTACTGACCACTGGACTTGGTGTTGTAGCCCTGAAAGTGATGCATTAGGAGAAACGTGATTTGCTGAAAATGTCTTTTTTTGTAGTTAGCTTTATAAAGAAAATTTGTACATTTTGTATCACCTCCCTCAAATAGCAAATAGCATATTGTATTGTTTGATTATCAAGTGTTCTTTGTGTTCACCAAGTATCAGCCTTTATTATGATAGGCAATTTAAATATATTGATAAGGAAGGACCCATCAAGTAGACTTTCCAAATAAGATTGCCAAAGTGATGAAGAAACTCCTTTTGATGGGAATATACTTTTAATATCTATTCCTAGGCAGCAGGTGGCAGTGTGAATCCACCAGATTTCAGTAGTTAATTTAAAGCAAAAATC